CCAGTTATAAAAATATGGTTTTTCCCAAACTGACGGCTGGAAAACACTTTCAGAAGGAACAGTTATGGGACATCTGTTCAAAGGGACCTAATGTTTATCTTATAAATATACTGATATCTATATACTGCCAAAACTTGTTTCTGTAACCTTTAAGTAGGCAATATAGTTCAACTTGGGCTACCTGCAAGGCAGATACTATCTCTGGATATGTCCCTGAATTTTTAAGAACTTTTCATAATTCTATAACCATAGAATTAAACATGAATCAATAGCAATTGTAAGAAATTTTGCCACTCTTTTGGAGATGTTATAGTTGCAGTCCAATAATATAAAGCAAACAACATCATTCCCCGAACAAATGGAACTTTTGAGCAGTTCATTATAGATTATGACTTGTTGTAGAAAGGACACTATAGGAACATGTAGGCTAGAGCTAGGGTTTCAAACTTTTTGAAGCTTTAGATGTTAGATATTTTAAAAAAGAATCCTGAAATTCCTTAACAAGAGACAAAGTTCTAAGTGACAGAAAATTGGCTGCATTCAAGTGATTTTCTGAAGGGAAGGGGGTCCTTTGTCTTTTATGGAAAATAAAGTTCTCTTTTTTTTTCAAAAAAAGGAGTTTTATTGAGTTTTATAAAGTTAAGGAAGGGGTGGGATCAGTATGGGAATTGGGGTTTGGGGTAGGAGTCAGGATTGGGGTTGGAATAGGGATAGGAACAACAATTGGGTTACCCCCCACTAACATTTTCAAGCTTTAGCAAACAGACTATTGTCCGGGTACATATGTTCAATAGCAGTAATTAATATAATAGTAAATAGCTATAGTAAATATGAGAAACAATAATCATAAACAATATCAATTAATCAATACATATCCTTCATCTTATTAAAATATATTCGCCATTAAATATTACAATCATTTCTCACTAGTTCGTTTTACTAACCATTGGTAAAGTTTATCCCATGTTTTAAAGTAGACTGAGTCTTCTTTCTCTTTAATCTCTAAGGTTAATCTGTCCATTTCAGCACATTCTAAAATTTTCTTAATTATGATCTCTTTAGATGGCAAATTTTCATTTTTCCAATATTGGGCAAATGCTATTCTCGCTGCTGTCAATATATGCAATATTAAATACTCATTCTCCTTCTCATACTTGGCTCCTAGTATTCCTAACAGAAACAATTCTGGTTTAAATTCTATCTATATTTTAGTCATCTTTTCCAATCATGTATGAATCTTAAGCCAAACTTTTTTCACACTAGGGCATACCCACCAGATATGATAGTAGGTACCTTGCTTTTGTTTGCATTTCCAACAATTGTTTGAAACTTTTAAAAACATTTTCACTAATCTCACTGGTGTCATGCTATCTATAAAACATTTTATACAAATTTTCTTTATATGAAGCTGCTTTAATCAGTTTAATGTTTCTATCCCATAGCTTTTGCCAATCTTCTAAATCTATAGAATATCCAAAGTTTTTTGCCCATATTATTATCGTTTCTTTTACTTGTTCTTCTTTCATCTTCAAATTTAAAAGAAATCTGTAAAATTTCTTAATCAAGTTTTCATCTGTTTTTAAGAATATTTGATCAAATTCTGTTCTTTATAAAATCCCATTGTCTTTACATCTTTTTCATATCTTGTTTGAATTTGCAAGTAAGACCAGCATGTTAAGCCAATACCTTGTTGTTGTAAGTCTTGCCTATCTTTCAGTTTTCCGTCCTTGTCCAAAATATCTTTGTAAACGACGACTTTGTCATAGTTAATTAAATTTGGATAAGCAAAAACTTCCATTGTTGAAAGCCACTCAGGTAGTTTAATATATATTTTTTTGTTTTATTCTTTCCCATTCTAAAAACAGTACATTCCTTATGGCATGGTTTTGAAAATATCTGTGTGTTTTATTTTTCCTGTACCGTAGAAAGGCATGCCAACCCATTTGTAGGTCATACCCCTCTAGGTACAGTAACCTTTTATTTCTCAACATTATCCATTCTTTAAGCCATGGTAAAATAGCTGCTTGATAATATAGTCTCCAGAAATATTAATGCCATCTGTTTCCCTGGATGGTTTTCATAGTATTCTAGAACGTTCTGGAAAATAAAGTTCTCGGAGAACTCTGGGATTCTGCAGAATACTGTAGTTTGAAAAGCTCTGGGCTGTAGTCTTGGGCTCCTCCAATACTGCAGTGGGCAACATAATAAAGTGGGCCAAAGAGAGAGCTCTTGGACAAGGATAGGACATTTACTGGTATGAAAGGTTCCTTGTTGATATTCCACCACTAAAGTTGTCCTGATTTACTATAGCTCTAGCTCTTAATAGCTGAAAACCAATGGAAAGTTCTCTTTTCACCATAGTCTAATAAAGGGTATATATTATTTTTGCAAATACAGATATTAGCAGTAATTTTATGGTAAAGTACTTCAAAGTGGGAAAAACCAGAAACAAGCAAAAAATGATTGCTCCTTCTATTTTAACAAGTACATAATCACAATCCAGTTTAATGAGATTTTTAATCATTTTTCCTTTCAAAACTGTTTTATGAATAAAAATGCTAGAAGTATGAGACACTTTATTTTTTCAGGATGTGATGAATACATGAATATATAATTGAAAATACATGAATACATGACTGAAAATAACTGGTCCTAAAAGAAAGCCAATAATAAACAGCACAAGGATTAAAATGTTACTTAAGGTGAATCTGGAAGATGAATATGTTAAACATTTGTATGGTAAAATGGGCAAAACATTTTGATAACAACATAATGCTAGACTGAGTAATGGGAGAATGTATGGACCAATAGTTTAAAATTTACTTTGAATTATACTTTGGAAAAAAACTTTTATAAAAGTATGTACTGTTGGTATTTGACTCCACATAGACTGGCAAAAATGTATAGAGGGTACATTTTATCATATATAGTGATCTTGTAAGTGTGCTAAATCATACTGGATAAATATAATGACAATGCAGAAAACGTTTAAAACACAAATATTAATGAAACCTGAAGCCTTTCTTCTAGGTATCATGGACAAACCAATTGAAAAACAGTTTGGGATACTATTTCTTTACATGGTGACCACTGTGAGGCTTGTCCATGCTAAGCATTGGAATGAAAAGGGGATATCGACTGTTAAAAAGTGAATTTTAAAATTGACTGAATTAGCAGAGATGGCAAAATTAACTGCTTTGATTAGAGACAATAGTTTAGACAAGTTTATAAGACTGGAAGCCATTTGTGGTTCTACACATTATATGCAATAATAGATGGTTAACAGAGGATTTTGAAGATTAATTTTATCTTTTGAGTTATCTGTTGACCGTTTTTTTTTTTACATACATCTTGTGAACAGATGTTGGGTTGATTCGATATTAGACAAATTGATTTCCACATCAGAGAAGTCTGTTTACGGAATATAGCATTTTTGTTAAATATAGATGGGAAAGTTTATAACTATTTGTAGACCTATGTAAGGGGAGGAGAACATATTAGTTTTTTTGATACATCTTTCAGCATTCAGCCAGGGTGGATTTTTTTTAATGTTTAATGTTAGATGTACAATGAGGGAAAAAATTTTTGATCACCTGCTGATTTTGTACGTTTTCCCACTGACAAAGAAATGATAGGTCTATAATTTTAATGGTAGGTTTATTTTAACAGTGAGAGACAGAATAACAACAAAAAAATCCAGAAAAGCACATTTCCAAAAAGTTATAAATTGACTTGCATTTTAATGAGTGAAATCAGTATTTGACCTCTTCGCAAAACATGATTTAGTACTTGGTGCAAAAACCCTTGTTGGCAATCACAGAGGTCAGACATTTCTTGTAGTTGGCCACCAGGTTTGCACACATCTTAGGAGGGATTTTATCTCACTACTCTTTGCAGATCCTCTCCAAGTCATTAAGGTTTTGAGGCTGATGTTTCACAGCTCAAACCTTCAGCTTCCTCCATAGATTTTCTATGGGATTAAGGTCTGGAGACTGGCTAGGCCGCTCCAGGATCTTAATGTGGTTCTTCTTAAGCCACTCCTTTGTTGCCTTGGCCATGTGTTTTGGGTCATTACCATGCTGGAATACCCATCCACGACCCATTTTCAATGCCCTGGCTGAGGGAAGGAGGTTCTCACCCAAGATTTGACAATACATAGCCCCATCTATCGTCCCTTAGATGCAGTGAAGTTGTCCTGTCCCCTTAGCAGAAAAACACCCCAAAAGCATAATGTTTCCATCTCCATGTTTGATGGTAGGGATGGTGTTCTTGGGGTCATAGGCAGCATTCCTCCTCCTCCGAACACGGCAAGTTGAGTTGATACCAAAGAGCTCAGTTGAGGTCTCATCTGACAACACTTTCACCCAGTTCTCTGAATCATTCAGATGTTCATTGACAAACTTCAGATGGGCCTGTACATGTGCTTTCTTGAGCAGAGGGACCTTGCTGGTGGACAGGTGTCTTTTATACAGGTAACAAGCTGAGTTTAGGAGCACTTCTTTAAGAGAGTGCTCCTAATCTCAGCTTGTTACCTGTATAAAAAACACCTGGCTGGGAGCCAGAAATCTTGCTGATTGATAGGGGATCAAATACTTATTTCACTCATTAAAATGCAAATCAATTTATAACTTTTTTGAAATGTGCTTTTCTGGAATTTTTTTTGTTATTCTGTATCTCACTATTACATTAAACCTACCATTAAAATTATAGACTGATCATATCTTTATCAGTGGGCAAACGTAAAAATCAGCAGGGAATCAAATAGTTTTCCCTTCACTGTATTTAATATTTGGGGTTTTTTTGTACACGTTTTTTTTGTTTTTGGTATTGGTTTCAAATATTCGTTAGTTAGTTTTTTCTTTCTTTTTCTTTCTTTTGTATTTTATGTTTGGTGATAAAGAATAAATAAATATGTTAAAGGAAGAATTAAAGGGAGAATGTCTCTCCTGGTTCTAACAAGAAAAAGGACAAAATGGACAAAATCAAGGAGAGAAAGCCAATCTATTTTCACTGCCCTTTATTTCACAATCTCTTCTCATATCATTTAATTTACACATGTTGCATTCACCCTTCAAACATTTTGATAATATATGTAAAAGTATCTCTACACACAATCACTCTCCTTTACTGAAATATAATTCAGAAGAATATATATATATTCAAAGTGTGTGGTCCCACTATTTGAATCTTGACTATTCAAAGAAGCTGCCTGGGTAGTGGTTTTTTTAAACTTCTAAATGCACTACAGTCATGTTTCCTTTTAAAACAACATTCCCAGCAACTCCATTGCTGGGCGAAGGCAGCCAAAGAGCACTGTACAAAAAGAGAAAACGCTCACTGAATTGTACACATTGAGCTCCGGGGAGAGTTAACGGTTCTTGTTGCAGGCTCCTGGCTATAGTTTACAATATCCGCTTTCACTACATTCTGTCAAAAGAGAAGAAAAGAAAAACAGAAGAGGTTACAGCAAGTGAATCCAAAGGGAAAAAACTGTTTCAAATTGCTAATAAAACATTTCACAATAATGACCATGCTATAAAATGTAGAGCATTGAAACAAGTCAGACATGTTGCAGCACTTTTCTCTCAGAAAACGTGCATAAGGATTTTGACATTGACAAAATAAAAGTATCTTGATTGCTTTTATACATACCAATGGTGACAATATGTACTAATTCTAAATCCTGGCTTCTTTATTCCAATTAAGAGGTTCTAGCCCATAAAATTTGTCAATTTCTCAAGCACTTTTTCTTTTCACTATTCATGAGACTAAAGTGCACTAATCAAACAGGTGGTAAGGAAAAAGGGGAATGCAGACACAAAACAGGTTATGTAGAAAGTAAAGATAGAGTCAGTCAAAAGGACTCATGTTTATACATCAACACACAAAGTATGAGGAATAAATAGAATGAATGAGAGATTCAAGTAATTGTTGCCATTATGGAAGCTTGGTGGGATGAAACCCCATATACAGCTAGAAAGATTTAAATTATTTAAAAGAAACAGAGATAATAAAAGAGGAGATGGAGTTGCACTATATATAAGAAATAACTACATCAGCAGAACAACTACACCAGAACAATTATGAAAACCATCTTGAATGCATTTGGGCCAATGTAAAAGAGAAAAAATGTCATTGCCATAGGTGTAGACTATAGGCCACCCAATCAAACAGACAAAATATATTAACTCTTTACTAGTCGGTTAACTAAGGTATGTAGGAAGCATGTCACAATAGTAATGGGGGACTTATCTAACCCAACATCAACTGGGAGACAAACGTTGCACCAAGTGGAAGATCAAACAGGTTCCTCACAAACCTAGCAGATAACTTTGTCTTCCAAAAAGTAGAGAAGGGAATTAGGGGTCACTCATATTGGATTTAATTCTCACTAACAGAAATGAAATGATAGAAGGTATTGAAGTTACAAGAATCTTGGAGAGTAGTGATCATGCAATATTGGAATTCAATATTATGCAACCACAAACAATAGAACAAAGTCAAATTAAAGTCTTGGACTTTAAGAAAGCTGATTTCAATAAACTTAGAGAGAGCTTGGAAAAGATTCCATGAATGAGAATCCTCAAGGGGAAGCTTTGGAAATTTTGAAAAGTGAGATTATAAAAGCCCAGTCTAGCACAAGTCAACTGAAGAAGAAAAATAACAGCTCTCAAAAGAAACCAGCACAGCTGCACAAAGAACTCTCTGATAAACTGAAAGACAAAAAGGACAAATATAAAAAGTGGAAAGAAGGGCACATAACTAAGGCAGAATATCCACATATGGCCTGAGCCTGCAAAGATGAAGTCAGGAAAGCTAAGGCTCAAAATGAACTAAAGCTTGCGACAAAAGTAAAAAATAATAATAATAAAAGTTCTTTCAAAATGTAAAAAAACAAAAAAAGTCAAGGAAACTATTGGTCCATTAATGGCAGAAAATGGCAAGAAGGTGACAAACACCAGGGAGAAAGCAGAACTGCTTAACTTGTTTTTTGCATTTATCTTTACACAAAAGGAAAAACAGTCCAACCTATCAAAAACAGTACCATAAAAAACAGATTAGGAATACAAGTTAAAAGAGGCAAGAAAATGGTTAGAGAGCAGCTGTGCACCCTAGACAAGTTCAAATCACTAGGACCAGATGGATTACACTCCAATGTTGTGAAGGAACTGGCAGAACTGGCTGATGTAGTTCCCATCTTCAAAAAAAAAATGGATCAGGAAACTACAGACCTATCAGCCTGACATCAATACCTAGGAAGATTCTGGAAAAGATAATCAAGCAACGAATCTGCAAACACCTAGAGGCAAACAAAATCATAACCAAAAGCCAACATGAATTTGTCAAAAACAGATCATGCCAGACTAACCTTATTGCATTCTTTGACAAAGTGATAAAATTAGTGGATCAGAGAAATGCCGTGGATATAATTTATTTGGACTTCAGTAAGGCATTTGATAAAGTAGACCACAACCTACTACTTGATATGATAGAAAAATGTGCATTAGACAGCATCACCACCAGATGGAACTGCATCCACATGGAGGGAAATATGCAATGGGGTATCTCAAAGCTCTATCTTAGGCCCAGTACTCTTCAATATCTTTATCAATGATTTAGATGAGGGGATAGATGGGGAACTCATCAAATTTGCAGACAACACCAAGCTGGCAGGAATAGCCAACACTCCAGAAGATAGGCTTAACATGCAGAAGGAGCTTGACAGACTTGAACATTGGGCCCTATCAAACAAAATGAAATTCAATGGTGAAAAATGTAAGATTCTAAATTTAGGCAAGAAAAACCAAATGCATAAGTATAGTATATGTGTGAGATCTCACAAATTAGAAAGTTTGATTGAACCTTTTTTTGTCCCACAAATATGCGGCAAAGGCTGAGAAGTGAACAGAAAAACTCAATGAACCTGAAAGGCAGTAAAAAAAACACTTGGGGAGGCGAGGCCATCTGGGCGAGGGGTGTATGTGGCAACCTTACCCTGCGCGGCTTCAGCAGGTGTCCGGCAGGCGGAGGGAAGCAACTCCACCCCCTTGCCACCTGCTTTGCCACCTTACCTCATGTTGGTGGTGGTAACTGCCGGCCAGGTGGAAGGCAATCCGGCAGGAGCAACCAGCAGAGGCCAAAATGGCCCAGCTGGTATGAGAGGTGCAACGCCCGCCAGGGCCCGAAAAGCGCCAGGTTCAGCCCTTAGCTCGGCGCCTGCAGCACCGAGTTGTCATGCAGGCTGGTGGCACTCACCAGCCCAAAGGCAGAGGCGTTGGTGGCGCTGATTTACCGGCAGCCATTGGCGAAGGGTCCTGGCAGGCCGGCGGGGGGGCACTCCAGTGGTCAAATAGAAGATCTGGGCCGACTCGCCCTGCGCCAGGCAGAAGCAGCCCAGCAGAGCAGCCCAGAGCAGCATGGCCAGGAGGGCAAAGCGCCCCACGAGGCCAGCAGCATGGGCAGCCACTTGGTGACCGCACAGTACCTGATGCAGTCAAGGTAGGTTCCAGCAACAGTAGGGCCAGCAGGCAGGGCAGGCAGAGGCCAGGGCTCGCCGAGGGTTTGGTTTGTTGCGGCCACAGGCAAGCAGACGGTGGGACAGAGAGGGCAGGGCGGGCGGTAGCCGGTTCCACCAGCAGCCGCTGGTGAAGGGTCCTGGCAGGCCGGCGGCACATGGAAGATGTGGACCGACTCATCCCGCCCTGCACTAGGGCTTACTTTTGGGGGAGGGCTTATATTAGAATAGAATAGAATAGAATAGAATAGAATAGAATAGAATAGAATAGAATAGAATAGAATAGAATAGAATCTGGAAGGGACCTTGGAGGTCTTCTAGTCCAGGGGTAGGCAACCCAAAACACTCAAAGAGCCACTTGGACCTGTTTCCCACCGAAAACAAAACACTGGGAGCTGCAAAACCCTTTGGATATCTAAAATGAAGATAACACTGCATATATCCTTTTTACCTTTATTATATATATATATATATAAAAGGATATATGCAGTGTTATCTTCATTTTAGATGTCAAAAGGGTCTCTCTCTCTCTCTCTCTCTCTGTCCCTCCTTCTCTCTCTCTCCCTCCCTCTCCCTCTTTCTGCTCTTGGTCTGCCAGTCCTCTTCCCCCACTCAGTGTGTGTGTGTTTGTGTGTGTGTCTGTGTGTGTGAGAGAGGCACTTGCGCTTCCCCCTCTCTTTCTCTTTCCTCTCTCCCTCTTTCCCTTTCCTCTCCCTCTCTTTCCTCTCTCTTTCCTCTCCTCTCTCCCTTTCTTTCCTCTCCCTCCCTTTTTCTTTCCTCTTTCCTCTCTCCCTCTCCCTTTCTCTTTCCTCTTTCTTTCCTTTCCTCTTTCTCTTTCCTCTCTCTCCGCCTCTCCCTCCCTCTTTCTCTTTCCTCTCCCTTTCCTCTCTCTTTCTCCCTTTCCTCTTTCTTTCTTTCCTCTCTCTCTTTCTCTCCTCTCTCTCTTTCTCTTCACCTCCCCCCCTTTACTAACAGAACCAGTTCACCTACCAAATCATTTAACTTCCTCCCTTAGAGCTGGGCAATCGAGGATTCACCACATTCTGACAAAGAGAAATGCCAACACCTCTCACTTAGCATCGATCCTTACGGGGAGTTTTCAGTGCTTCTAGATTTTTGTGATCTGTCCATACCTCAAATGGTACTTTGCTCCCTTCTAGATAGTGCCACCAGTTTAATAATGCCCATGTAATAGCGAAGGCCTCTTTTTCCCAGATTGCCCATCTCCGTTCGCTCTCAGTAAATTTCTTAGAGGTGTAGGCGCAGGGTTGCAGGATCCCATTTTTGTTCTTTTGCAGTAATACAGCTCCAACCGCCACATCGCTGGCATCGGCCTGAATCACAAAAGGTTTTTCTTGGTCGGGGTGCTTTAGGGCAGGTTCAGTGGCAAATAGTCTTTTTAAGTTCTCAAAAGCTGTTTGACAACCCATTGTCCATGCTAGTGGTTGGCCCGGCCGTGGCTTTCCTCCCCCTTTGCCTGTTTTGAGTAGTTCGGTGAGAGGCAAGGCAATTTCGGCAAAAGAGGGGATAAATTGGCGATAAAAGTTGGCAAATCCCAGAAAACTCTGGAGCTGTTTGCGAGTC